GGGTGGACATGAGCAGGTTCTCCTACAACACGTCACGAGTTAAAGGGAACCAGTCACATGCTCATTCAGACACCATCTCCCCTCCGCAGAGCTCCAGTTTAAGATCTGATTTAAAAATTCTGATTGCACTGAATATGAATTTTCAAAGTACTGGTGAACTGGTGGTTTAGTAAAGTATTATGCAGCATGAACACCTACTGTACCTGCTTGTGTCCAGGGCAAAAATGACATTTCCTCTTCAAAAAACACCTCCTTTGAAAAAAAGGTTTGTTCACAAGTCCTGAACAAAGATCTGGAAAGAAGGACAGCCCAGGGACACCGTCCAGACTGCAGCAGACACTGATATGATATGGAAAACAAAAATAACAAAGTCACTGAAGCTTTGAAGGCTTTGGGTTTTTTTACAGTGACAAATCATGAAGCTGCACATTTACTTCTGTAAAGACGTCCCGGGGTGTCGGAGTCATTCTCCCTGTGATCTGACAGGATGTGCTCTAGAGCCTGGAGGGCACTGGTTTCAATGGAGGTTGGGCCACTGTCCCACTATCCCAGTGTCTCACTGTTCTACTATCCCAAAGTCTCTGTGTCCCACTATCCCAGTGCCCCACTACCCCAATGTCTCACTGTCCCACTATCCCAGTGACTCAGTCTTTCACTAGCCCAGTGTCCAAGTCTCAATATCCCAGTGTCCCAATGACTCAGTGTCTCACTATCCCAGGGTCCTAGTGAGTCAGTGTCTCACTATTCCAGTTTCCCAGTGACTTAGTGGCTCACTAGCCCAGTGTCCCACTATTCGAGTGTCCCAGTCACTCAGTGTCTCACTAGCCCAGTGTTCCAGTGTCTCTGTCTCACTAGCTCAGTGTTCCAGTGTCTCTGTCTCACTGTCTCAGTGTCCCAGTGCTGTCAGGAGCTGACAGGCCCAGGCTGGCCAGGAGAGAAGCCAGGACTGGCGCCGCGTCTGCCTGGTGCTGCAGTCCTGCCCCTGAGGTGAGAGCTCTGCTGATCCCGCTCTGGGCTCACAAGGTAGATTTGCAATGAAACAGCTGGACGACATCCTTAGCTACGAACAGGTTAGACGTGCCGACTGACCCTTTGACCTGAACTGATTTGATCTCAATGCCTTTGAAAACCCAATGTCCTGTTGTACTTCACAGTAGAAAGGCCGTGTTGGTCATGTGCTGTATGATTCTGTCACATTAAACAGCTTCCATAATGTAACATTCGCTCCTAGCAGTCTGTCAGTTACACACTGTACTATCAAACAAGTTAGACCGGTCTGATTGAATCTAATTATTTATTACTCTTCCTTAGTTATAACATTACAATACCAGATACTCCTCAACATTTGATAAACACAGATTTGTCTATATGTATATAGTGTTCTTGAGCAGATTTGGTTCAATAACTGTCCTCTGTGCCTCCTGAATTCTGATCGGTAGCTGAGCTTCAGCTCAAATTCATATAACTTCTATATCAATTAAAAGTATAAGAAACTATAAATCAAAAAGGATTTGATTAATAAGACTAATCTGTGATCTTCCTGCTTCTCATTTTATATAATTTCTTAGGAAACCCCTAGAAAGCCTTAATAAACAGTATCAAAATCAAAACCAGTCCAACAATGAGTATATTTTCCCAGAGCTCAGGTTCAAAGAAAATCTGGGGCACATTTCAGGCATAGGGAGTATTCTTCTGCACAAAATTTCTCCTCCTTGTCCATCCCTGCCTGTCTGTGAGGCAGGGACAGAGGCCTGTCTGTGAGGCAGGGACTGAGGCCTGTCTGTGAGGCAGGGACTGAGGCCTGTCTGTGAGGCAGGACGGAGGCCTGACCATGAGGAAGGGACAGAGGCCTGACTGTGAGGCAGGGACTGAGTCCTGTATGTGAGGCAGGGATGGAGGCCTACTGACAGGGTGCTCCTAGTTATCCAGCTGCAACTGTTACAAAAGCCTCTGTCTTGGCCTTGACCCACAGCGCCCCCTGGAGAAGAGCTGAGTACTGTGTTTCTGCTTGATTCAGTGGCTCGCTGCCAGCACACAGAATTATGTTCGCCCAAAGACACCACTCCCTCTTACTTTCAAACCCTCCTACCTCTCTCCCAGAGTTTCAGTCAGTCCCAGCAGGTTCAGATGGGCATCCAGTGTTCGAGAGCTTCTCGTGGCCTCTGTCCTGCAGCACAGCGTGAACACCAGCCTGCTGACTGAGAAGTGTCTCCTCTTCGAACCCTGAGCCTGGTGCTGTTCTGTGTCCTGGTGTGTCTCGCTCTTGCTGTCGGCCGCAGGGTCCGGCCAGCCTGATGGCTCAGCCTCTGCTCTGGTCTCCCCTGCTGGTCCTCCTCATGTCCGGAGCGTCGGCACAGGACAGCCCCCGGGTCGTCTCTCCGCAGAACTGCACGCTGGACTGTGTCATCCAGGTAATCCCGGCTCCGCTTGGCTCCGCTCGGCTCCTCCCTTCTGGCTCCACGCGGCTCCAGTGCTCTTTCCACTGTGGTTACGGTAACATCCCTGCTACACACGCGGATCCTTGCTGGCACGGAGCTCCGCTGCAAGACTTCACAGGAAATCGGAAGCAAACTCACAGTCCTGCACAGGAACGTTTGCAGAAGGGACCCGAGTTTCTAACACTTAAGTGAGCGCAGTTCTGACTTTGTTAGCAGGCTCCCTAGTGGCTCACCTTGCCCGGGTTTTCTGAGCGCAGTGCTGAGTGTTTTTCAGTAAAAGGGAAAGATATGAGTGTGTTTGTGCAGTTAGATCTCTCTTGCTATCTGTTTCAGATTTTGAAATCCAAATCCAAGGACATGGAATTTGATAGGTGAACA